ATAAATATGCTCTTGACTACATGAAAATAGAAGTAAGAAGTATGTAGTTGGAGGGCAGATATGTGCCTTACTATTAAGTCCTAACTCATGCCTCATGGCTAGGAACCTATTCATCAATTAAACATCTCACTAATTTGAAAGGAATCCAAATATACTAGAAAAGATGATAAAGTGATAGTACAAGAAATTAAGTGAAAGAATATGTACCCTCTGCCCCGTCTATGGAATAAGGTGTTATGAATAGAATGGGCTCCTTTTGTGTTTCCTTCCAATTGCATTCTCCCCCTTTCCCTGTTTGCCTTTATTAGAGGAAGTCATTATCCTAAGGTTAATTTAGATCATCCCCATGACTTCTTGGTAGTTTATTACATATGTACAAAAATATCTTAGTACTATTTTGCATTTTTAAAAATTTTGTATACGTGGCATCAAATTATACGTATCATTCTGCATATTTCTTATTTTTAACATAAGAAACTCTGAGCTTTATCTATGCAAACAAGCATCAACCTACCTCATGCATTTTCACAGTGTATGTTGTACAGCTGCCTTAGTGTGCCAGTTATTCAGCTATTGTCTCACCCACCTTTCTGTATTCTTCTCTGTGATGATGAGGCTGGGACTAGGCAAACATATTTCTCCTTTGTCACCTGGCTCCCTGTTAGGTTCTGCCAATAGAGGACGCTAGAGGGAAACAGAAGATTGGACGAGGAGTGGAGAGACTTCCGTTTGCTCACCCGTCAGTGTCGTCCCATCAGCAGTACTGTACCTGACAGCAGTAGTTTGTTCCAGTAGCACTTGGTTCTAGTTTTCGGTTTTTTCCATACTTTCAGAATCAGCGTCATTATCCTCCCTCAAAAATACCGGCACCGGGGCTTCCCTGGTGGTGCAGTGGTTGAGAGTCCGCCTGCTGATGCAGGGGACGCGGGTTCGTGCCCCGGTCCGGGAAGGTCCCACGTGCCGCGGAGCGGCTGGGCCCGTGAGCCGTGGCCACTGAGCCTGCGCGTCCGGAGCCTGTGCTCCGCAACGGGAGAGGCCACAGCAGTGAGAGGCCCGCGTACCGGGGGGGGGAAAAAAAAATTGAGCAAGTAGAATATGCCTTACACTGTCTTATGCATTTTCAAGTATCTCATTTAATACATGTAATGAACATCACAGAATATTATAATGGGTCAATTTTGCCTTGGAAGACAAGAGAGTTGTCAAAGACCAGTTGGGTAAGTCAATCAGAACATCCTAGGTAGAGACAGTCATGCATACAAAGACATGGAAGAATGGCATGCTGCAAGTAGAGACCAATATATTGAGGCTGGGGGAGGGTAAAAGGAGGGAGGGTAAGGAGAGACAATGGAAAAGTATGAGGCCAGAAAGAGAGGCGAGGGCCAGATCGGTGAAGCACAAATGAAGTCTTGGACTTTATCCTGAAGCTAAAAGACCCATTGAGGGATTTTTAGAGTCAAGTATCATGATGAACTAAATAGTTTTAAAAATCACTTTGCACTTTTATACACAGAATGGATAAACAACAAGGTCCTACTGTATAGCACAGAGAACTATGTTCAATATCCTATGATAAACCATAATGGAATAGAATACAAAAAAAAGAATGTATATATATGTATAACTGAATCACTTTGCTGTACAGCAGAAATTAACACAACTTTGTAAATCAACTAAATTTCCACAAAAAATTACTTGGCTAGTAGTTTGGAGGATAGATAAGAAGGGAAAATCCTAAATGTAAGGTAGCCACATAGGAGACAATTCTAATAGTTCCCTCAGGGTAGTGGTGGCAGAATAGCACATTGAGGAACATCAAGGAGGCCAAGGCCAATGCAACTGGAGTCAAATGGACATGGAGGAAATCACTAGGAGTTGACGTTAGAAGTAACAGAAGGCTGGATCTTGCAGGCATTGCAAGAACTTGGCTTTTTACTCTGAAAAGTGAAATAGGAAGCTTTTGGAAGTTTTTGAGCAGATTGACACAATTAGTTTTACATTTTAATAGGATCACTCTAACTGCTGTTGTGCAAAAGTATAAGAAGTGGTACCAGAAACAGGTAGCAGGGTATTGGAATAATCCAGGACAGAGATGATGATGGGCTTGGACCAGAGTTGCAGTAGTGAAAGACCTCCTGATTGAACATGTATAGAGTGAGAGACAAAGCTAGAAGGAAGGATAACTCCAAGTGCTTTGGCCTCAACAACTGGTAGTTTACAGAAGCCATTAACTGAGATCTGAAAGACTAACTTCAGGAATGTCGGAAATGGAAGGTCAGAAGCTCAGTTTTGTTTATGTTGATTTGATACGCCTTTATATATATATCCAACTGGAGATTCTGAGCAGACAAAATTTTTAGGACACAGAAGTCTGGAGTTCAAGGAGAGGTCTGAGATAGAGATAGAGATCTTTGAATCACTAACATATAAATGGTATTTAGAGCCACAAAATGGATGATTGTAGATAGGAACAGAAGACTTCTAAGAATTGGGCTCCAAGGCAAACATCGTTGAGAGGTTAGGGATGATGAGAAGGAAGCAGGAAGAAAAAAGCCCACAAAAAAACTCTGAAGTAAATAAGCACAAAAACCAAGAAGAAAGAATGAGGAAAACCAGGAAATTGTGGGCGAAGAAAGTGCCTCAAAAATGAGATAGTGTCAGCTGTGTCAAATGCTGCCGGCATGTCAGCTAACTTAGTAACGCAGAGATCAGTGGTGACCTTGACAAGGCGGTGAAGTCATGGGGACAAAATCCTGATGGGAAGGAAGGAATTAAGACAGAGAGTATACACAACCATATAGAAGAGTTCTGTTGTACAATAGAACAGAGAAATGAGACAGGAACTGGAAGGGGTGGTCAGATCAAGAGAGGGTTTTGTTTTGTTTCTATTTAAGGTAAGAAATACAACAGGATATTTGTATGCTGATGGAATTAACCCAACAGAGAAAGAAAAATTGATGATAAGGAGGAAGAGAGAGAATTTCTAAAGCAATGTCTTTGGGATCTGGTGGACAAGGATAGGGAAAGGACGTATAGAGAGGCATGAGCAGTCATTGGCAGTGAGAGGAGGGGAGGTGGACTTCATAGGCATGGATGCTGCCAAATGGACTGATGCTTTGTAGGAGCTTGTGGAAGTCTATTTAGTTGGATAAACAATCCTGGAGTTCAGGAGAGAAGTTTGGGCTAAAGATAGAGACAATAGTTTTCAGTTCATAGAGGGTAGTTAAAGGTATAAAGTAGAAAAGGATCGGCAATGGGGGCAAGATGGTAGAATACAGAACAAAGAGTAATGAATAATGTGGCTACTGACCATAAGTGCATTCAGAGTTCAGAGAAGTGAACAGCAACAGAGGTGAGAGGTGAGAAACTTGAGTTGGAAGCTCAGGATTTAGCGAGGAATCAACCCAGGATCAGAGCGGTAGTAAGTGTATAAAAATATAATAAGAAGGGTGGTCTTAGCTAAGAACAGGAAAGATATAATGGGACTGAGTGGGAGAAGGCTCTGATTGTCTGCCTTGATTTGATATACACATGGGAAGCATTTCACTTGAGAGCAAGGGTTAAGGGAACTCAATAGTTTGCATTATTGATTGAAGATTGGGTTGGGAGGAGTGAGATCACAAGGGCTGATGGAGGGCCTGTAAGAGTAACTCTTGGCCACAGAGTCAGGACTCTGATGATAAAAATAGAAAGCAGGTTTTATAATGGATAATGGAACTAACGACCTGGGGAGAGCCAACAAACTTAGAGATTTTATTCTACGGGCCCTTCTCTCGTTTAAAATTTGTACCTTACATATTTAAAGGCAGAATTATATTTATTTTAATACAAAACTTTAGACTCTAAACTTCCTAATCCCACAATAATTTTGAACTGTCATTCAAATTATGTACTTGAATGTTTACATTCAAACCTCGTTTAAATAATTTGCATCCACAATCCCTATTCCTTATGTAAAAATGAGGCAAAGGCATTACTAACGACACTTGGTAACGAAATATTTATTGCAAGTTTCTATTGATTTCAACATAATAAAAAGTTGGTATACTTCCTGATATTAGGGAGAGTGAAGGGAAATTCCTTTGTTTCTTTTTGCTTCTATTCAGAAAGTCAGGTCAACTGAAGCAACAGGTAGAATTTCAACTTGACATATGAAAATAAGTTCCTTCTCATTATAAAGCAATTGATCTGTCTAACACAGGTCTCATCTTGTCCTCGAATATTTTTTTTCTGAAATGAATTTGTGTCTGATGGATATTATTTCATAAGGACACATGGAAACTCACCAGGGGGTCTGGGAGAATAAAGGCATATTCAGATAATGAAAAGAAGTTCTTAGAATTAAAGGGCTTAAAATTATAGAACTGAAGCAACCAAAAGAAACAAAAGGCACAAATAGCCCAAACCTACCAGTTTCCCTAC